GTTATTTTGTTTCTTCTCTTTTTACATGTAGGAATGTAGGAATCAATCAAAATCAGGCTTGTGACATGTAAACATTTAGCCGACATCTAAGGCTGCAGGGCTCTACACACTTGATGGGACTTACAATTCATTAATGACCACATCTGGGACCCACAGTAGTTTTCTTGGGAGACTGATCCATGAACAACCACACTGTTCTGGGTCCCACGAGACAAACTCGTTTCTCCAATTCTGCAACATGAATCACACACATATATCAAGCACATGCAGTATATAACTAGAGCTCCCAGGGGATGTTTATTAATTCCTTTCAGTTGAAAACATTTTATTTATTCATTAATGAGATACACTGTTGTTTACATCATATTCTATAAACTGACCTTTGCCTTTTTCGAACATGATGCAAGATGATTGATTTTATTATTTGTAAATGAAGTACTTACTAAAGTTTGCCAGATAAAAGTTGTCAAGATTTGGGCCTTTTCATCCTGGGAAAGAACCAAAAGTTAATTGTGGTCAACTCTCTTTTAATGCAGAGTCGTTTTGGGTAATATAGACCCAGTACGATGACTTTGTTAAGGTTGACAGAACCACAAAAAGTTGTACCAAGAATAAGAGAAAGTTGTTAAACTCAAAAATTATTATAATAAAGCAGACTTTACTCTAAGAAGCAAGTGAACGTGGCCCCATGGTGAATTGGTTGTGTTTTTTGTTTCTTACCACCCCCAAAATGCCAAACAGGGTGAAGGAAATGTTGACATTAGTGATGGTTGATATGTCCATGACGGGTCGAATGGCGCTCAGTTTGAAGACTGGTTTGAAAGCCTCCAGCAGGGACAGTGTGTCAGGTTGAGAGCAGTTCATCATAGAGGAACTGCACTCGGCTGCAGAGGAAAAAAGAAATGTGGCATCAGCATTATTAAAAACGTTTTATGTGTACAGCCCCAGATCAAAACATTTATTGTCTGGAGGCATAAAACATAGTGAAGTTGAGATCTTACAATATGACAGAGAAACCCAACAGTTTTCACAATGAGCAAACACTTGGCAACTGTGGATAAACCTCCAGCAGAACCCAACTATCTACACAGATAAAATGAGAAATGGTGATGAATAAATATGTCACATTTCTCTTTACTTTCTTTAATTCAAAAACATGGGAAAGTTAACCATTTAAAATCAGTTACAAGTAGGAGCTCTATGTGGTGATATGATGTGAGCTGTACTTACCATTCATGAGAACAAAGATGAAGATGAATAGAAGCTTAGAAGGCTTGACTTTCAGCTGGCAGCACTAAAAACATTAACATCGAGTCAAAAGTGGTTGTTAGTGGGTGTGGTTTCCTGGTGGTGAGAGCTGACCTGTCAAATTGTTTTCACACAGTTGAAATCTGTTAACTAAGATTAAATTATTAAGTGAATGTTTTTATCTGTTGTGTGATTGCACTTCAGGGCCTCAGTCTAGAGTTATTTTAAAATGTCATGTTACATGAAAAGGCCTTAATTCTATAGTCAATCCCAACAGTTGGAAACCATTGTATAATATTCAGAGG